CCATCACGAGCGCCCACACAATGGCACTTAGCATCCGAATTGACCCAGCGTAATGTCGGCCGTATGCTAAGCAGGGTGCTATGCTCCTCCCACGAGAAACAAACATGGGTTAGTAGGGAAAATGTATTCAAAGTCTCTGAACGCTTCAGGCCCAAATTGGTGCTAGCGGCCTATCCTACTTGTAGTCCCCTGAGATTTCATGGCACGCGCTGTAGTGAGTTGGGCGCTAGCGGCGGCCGGGGAAACTGGTGTTAGCGCTCTACTCTGCGATGCAGTCTCTGGGAACTGCGACGCTTATTAGAGCTACTGGGCGCTAGCACCACATAACGGAAACAGCAAAGCGTAGAGCGGTGCTGGTGAATGGTGATGCCTGTTGGATTGGTACAGAAAAAAGATACCAAAAGCAAATATCACTTGTAGGGAATATGCCGAGTTCGTGAAGCTTATCATAAAAGTGAGCAACAAAACACAAATTTGTATGGGTATGCGCAGAAACATGAGCTCTGCTGTAAATTGTCCAGTCCATTGCCCATGTCATCAATCTAAAGACGAGCTAAGCTCTCCACCTGGCTCCTGAGCTGCCGGTCGCCCTGTCCACCGCCTAGCAACAGCCGGCCAGCTGTTGCTAGGTCACCCCCGGGGGTCAGGGCAGGTCAGCTGACCTTGACCGGCCGGCGGCCCCGGGCGACGGGCGGACAGAGGGGGAGGGAAAGAGGGTCGGAGACGGACCGAGACTGCACCTAGGGCTGGGGGTCACTGAGTCACGTTTTATTAGTATTGCTGCATATTATAGTCTATAATATGCAACAATTTCTATAATTTATAGAAAGTCAATGCGATAATAATACTTATAACAGCGAAGTGACATATCAACCTCTTTCTATCTGATAAAGCAATTATAAACAGAGGTATGACATGTAAATTGTAAAATGTGTCACCGCGTCTTTCACTGTAAGGCACTTGTACTAAAGTAGCTATACCCAGCATGCATAAAAGCTGATGGACTGAACCGCATTTTAGATAAGTATCGGTAGTTATGACATGGCGAAATGGGCGACATTTCAGACGGGCAAATGTCGGTTGGCCACTTGGTCTCGTTCATTTGGACGCCAGTAGCCGTCATTTCAACTTGAAGACAATAGCATGGTACAATGCGGCTATGTCAAACTTTCTACTTGCACCAGCAAAGCGCATGTTCCTTTTCAACAGTGCTTTTTCGCTGGAGTAGACTTGAGACTAACTGCTCCGAGCAACTCAGGGGCAATAGTACCGTTCATCACATTTTGTTCACCTACGCTACTTCAAATGTAAATAAACCTCTGGTGTCTGAAATTACTTCCTTTTTAAGCATCACGACCAACATGTTGGACCCTGGCACTAATGCACGTGTCGACCCAGATACAAGGCACAATCATAAAATACGCACACTCCCACGTGACCATGACTATTTTCCCACCTCCACCGGCGTGTGTTTTTCCGCGCTGCTGCCACCAAAACGTTCAAACAGCTCGCGGTAATAAGCTCCAAACAGTCCCACTGCCCCAGTGCACTAATCGCAGATCGTCTAATGTAGCCGCCAAGGTCACCTGTCCTGCGACCGGAAACGGTGGACTTCCGCTGGGCCCCAGAGACCGTGCCGCCGGCGTCAGGGAATCACACGGCGAAGCGGTTACTGTGGTCTAGAGGCTCCCACGGTGATATGTCATGTAAGGGATACTCTGTGATTATGATGTGATTATACCTTTTTAGAGGCAGTAATTTTGGTATGTGGGGTAAGAAAGCGCTAGGTTTGTAAATGGTAGGCATTGAAGATAGTAATTTACCCACGGTTCCCTGCTATCTAGAAAATATTTTTAGCCCCTGAAGGACAACAACACAGGGTGCCATTTTACGCAATGAACTAGCAAGTAGCTATAATAGCTTATTTAATCCATAAGCTGGTTACATTTTTAACGTGAATGGTGAAATATCATGTCTTCATGGAACTATCAACTTTACCTGTCAATCAAAGCTCAAGTTATACACCATACAGTTACCCTAAGAGGCAGTCTAGCGGTGGTCATTCACGCAGACTCCCCGTCCATATCTCCCTATAGCGCACATCTGGGCGTCTCTCTCACATCTCCCTCGAGCTCACTGGAGCGCGGCGGCCGCTTGTCGCCGCATCTGCGCCAGTTACTGTCGCCGCTGCGTCATTTAGCGTCACAGACGCGCCACGTATGGCGCCACCGGCAGCTGCAGACAGGCCCGAGAGATAAACTTATGGCTGCTCTCACTCGTTGGGAGCAATAGAGCTTAATTGTGTGCATTTCCATTTAATTTCACTGTGTTCATCCAGCCCCTAATTAAATAGACAATTGAGTAATCTGCACAACAGAAAAAGGTACGTTATGCGTCACTTTAAATAACTCTAAGACCACAAGGGTACCGACAATACATCATTAATCCATGTCATGTTTGTATTTTCTGAACTTGACAAAAGCAAGGAGAGTTGCCAGTGTGCCGCTAACAACTAAAATAAACGCTTTATGTTTTAGGATGGCGTGTGAATTTTCCAGTTTCACACTGAAACCAACGTCGCCTCTCTTCACACACGTCTCCCTCGTATAGCTACCGCTGGGCAGCACCCCAGGACACAGACAGCACCCCATGCTGTGCACCGGACCGTTTACCGCTAACCTAACGACCTCCGACTGGGAGGATCCATCAGACGCTTGTCACGTGTCCTACAACCACTTCGCCGCCTTGAACGGCCTTGAGTGACCTCGACGGACGAAGATGGAGGCGGGCGACCTTCGCCGAAATGCCGACTGGGTCAAGACTGGAGGAGGTGTTTACCGAAATTCGCACTAACGAGGCGCCCCACAGTTCTGTGTGCCGATTGGGGGAGGAGGTCAGGGGCAAACTGTCCGCTGTATTGTGTGAACACTGGTAAGGTGGGAGGACTGAGGTTGAATCAGAAATGGACAGGGAACATGACTGATTGCTATTCGCTCCAGGCGTGTGAGAGTTGCAAGAATGATGACTGAACAAGCTGACCAGATGTTTCTGTTGAAGATCGATCACGCAACGATGAAAAATGCAAGCAGATGTTACATCACGCGCTTGTGTCTCGAGACGTCTTGCGTGAGGTGGTCGTGACTGGCAATTTGGGCGGCAATTCTGCGTCGTGACCGTTTCGTGTGCTCGCGGAACGATCAGTGATCTCGCAAGCTCACTGCTACCGATGACTGGAGAACGCTTATCAATTATCATTGCAATGAATTGGTTTCGTTGCACCAATGGGCTGGTGAAATATATCGGAGCTAATTGCAGGAAACAATGATAGGCATTGCTTTCTATCAATTTCGTTCGGCTCCAAATATTTTACAATTTCAGGTACCTATCATTACAGAAGATACATTGCATCATCATTTGGGTAGCGCAGAAAAACTGTTCAATAAAATCAAACCATCATCATCGCTAAAAGTCGTGCATGAAGCCATCATCGCAAAACATGACATGGCAAGGCCGCGACCTGGCATCCTAACGATACATAAAATTGCCATGACATGATCTTACCACGACATGACACTGACATGACAATGTCATTACCGTGGCATGACTGACAATTCAGCAGCATAGCTCACTGAAGTTAGTGAATCGGTACCGACGTCACGTATGAGCGGCGGTGACCTTTGGTGACCCGTACTGACCTCTGCGACTTCCGGTGACCTCTCCGGCAGCGGCGAAACCGTGAGCATATCGCGCGTTAGAGTTTGTGTAATAATGATCCATCACCCCCTCGCAAAAAGAAACGCGATGGAGTTCATAGCTTCGATACTACCGAGCATTGGATTAGTGAATGAGTGCCTATAGTGCATTCATAGGGATCAAAAAAAGAAATATAACGTGAATTTTAAGAGTCCTCTTACCTATCGAAATAAGCAGTGTGTAAATAATAATAGATGAATTCGCGAAATGAGATCGAATGGACGCCCAATATCAGCACAAAATTATTTTCGTCTGTCTGTTATAAGGTTTCCAATCTATCTTCATAAAAAGGTTCCGTAATGTCTGTTAGTAATGCATTCTAGAGCGAGGCTCAAAAAGTATGTTTTGGTCACCGTCTCTAAGCCCTTGACAACTAGCTGTGAAAACAATTCCTTCCTCATCAACTCCACCAAAGATCTTTCCGCATTTTCAAGCCCTTCGCCCTAGACACTTCACTTTACGGGATCGTGACGGCTCACGGTGACCCCCTATACCTTCCGTGCGCTCCGCCGAGTCGCCGTCCCTGTAAATCTCCCCGCTGCCACTCCCGTCTCCAGGGTGAAAGTAAACCTTGTTACCGACTCAACCAAGCGGCCAAAGACGAAATGAATTCAGTCTCCGGTGGAATCGTTAGGTTTTCGGGGTAAGATGACGGGCCTCGAAACATGCAATGGTCGTAAATGAAAAAAGAGTTACACGAATCGGTAACTCGGTCTTATTTATAAAGGTCGTCAGGCCTTGCTGATCAAATTTTCACTCACGATTTTAACGATCTTCAAACAGTACGAAAGTTCGATTTCATTAGGCTCCATAAAAGTGTCAAATGTATAGCGTCTTAATCATATCAAATGGAAGTTCATGCCCCATAGCTGGCCGTTAGAACATACTAATAATGTTCCAACAATGTTCATAACTCCTTGTTCAATGCGTGCAGTTTTTGCAGCCCACCCTATTTCTTGCCGAGTTGCGCTAGCCCAGCTCTGATGTAGGTACTCATAAAATCAAATCCTCTGAAACTCTAAGAACTTATGATAAGCAGGTGTTTGAGCTTGAGTTTTGAGACCTAATATTTTTCATACTTCACTCTTACCTACCAAAACTGAACTGTTCACCACCAGCGGCCAATTTCATAAAGCTTGTTAGTATTTTACGAGGTGTGTTTTACAGCCTTTTATGAAATCAGCCACAGATCGCATTCGGGCACAAGCAATCACGGCAGTGACAAACTTTTCCTTTTCTACCGGCAGATATTCGTCGCCCTGGTGCTGGTCGCCAGCGCCCAGGGCTTCTTCCTGCACATATTCGGCCTGGGCGGCGGCAAGAAGAGGGGACGTGGACGGCACAGGGGTCGCGGCAAAGGTCACAGAGGTCAAAGAGGTCACGGCCACGGGGGCGGCGGCGGTGGATATGGCGGAGGGGGCGGAGGAGGAGGCGGGTACATCAAGGTGTTTCCGGTGACGTTTGACGAGCCGTCGACGAGCTACGGACCTCCATCAACAAGTTACGGACCTCCGCCGTCCACGAGTTACGGACCTCCTCCGTCCTCGGAGTACGGAGCGCCCTCGTCGGGTCATGGAGGTCAGTGTTTATTTCCCACAACTGATCCATTCGTAGTGGCTCATATCGAATGAGATAATTGTTATTCATTTCAGCTGGTAGGTAAATGGAACGCCATAATCGCAAAGTTAGTGTTAAAGAAATCAACTCAAAAATACACCAACCAATAGTGCCAGAGAGATCTAAAATCTTAGCGCTCAATTTTTTTTTTTAAGTTATGATATCAAGAGCATAGCTCAAATTCCTCCACGCCTAATGCATCAGAGCATAAGAACTATGCAACATCTTCTTCACAGGAGGAGGCGGCGGCGGAGGATACTCCGGTGGCGGCGGAGGGGGAGGTGGATATTCTGGAGGAGGCGGCGGAGGCCACGGAGGCGGCGGAGGCGGACATTCCGGAGGAGGAGGCGGGTACTCCGGCGGAGGCGGCGGCGGAAGCCACGGAGGCGGCGGAGGTGGATATTCCGGAGGCGGCGGCGGAGGCCACGGAGGCGGCGGAGGCGGACATTCCGGAGGAGGCGGAGGCGGGTACTCCGGCGGAGGCGGTGGAGGCGGCCATGGTGGAAGCGGAGGACATTCCGGAGGAGGAGGCGGGTACTCCGGCGGAGGCGGAGGCGGCGGACATTCCGGAGGCGGCGGAGGCGGACATTCCGGAGGAGGCGGAGGCGGAGGATACTCCGGAGGAGGAGGCGGGTACTCCGGCGGAGGCGGCGGCGGAAGCCACGGAGGCGGCGGAGGTGGATATTCCGGAGGCGGCGGCGGAAGCCACGGTGGCGGCGGAGGCGGACATTCCGGAGGAGGCGGAGGCGGGTACTCCGGCGGAGGCGGTGGAGGCGGCCATGGTGGAAGCGGAGGACATTCCGGAGGCGACGGAGGTGGCTATTCCGGCGGAGGCGGAAGCCACGGAGGCGGAGGCGGACATTCCGGAGGAGGAGGCGGAAGCGGATACTCTGGAGGCAGTGGAGGCGGAAGCCACGGAGGCGGCGGAGGCGGTCACGGAGGCGGAGGCGGAGGTGGCTATTCTGGAGGCGGCGGTGGAGGCGGACACTCCGGAGGAGGCGGATATTCCGGAGGCGGAGGCGGAGGTGGAGGCGGTTACTCTGGAGGCGGAGGCGGAAGCCACGGAGGCGGCGGAGGCGGGTATTCTGGAGGCGGCGGTGGAAGCGGACACTCCGGAGGCGGAGGAGGCGGATATTCCGGAGGCGGAGGTGGAGGCGGTTACTCTGGAGGCGGAGGCGGAAGCCATGGAGGCGGCGGAGGTGGCTATTCTGGCGGCGGTGGAGGAGAAATCATTACTGGTGAGGGCTCTGTTTGACAGTGACATATCACAGCGACATTTAGAGGCATCGATGAACTTTTTGAAGTCTGAGAATCTTTGAAAAAGTGTTAGGTTCTGGCTTCAAAATATTTGTTTCTAGAAAATTTAACAGAAAACAAATAAAAATTCATTACGTTATAATGTCAAAACATGTGATGTAGGTATCCAGCTACCTCTTTCGCCTGAAACGTAATGGTGCGTTTGGCTGTCTATTGCTGACCTTTTTTCTTTTTTACTTTTCAGGCCATGGGTCAGCCGCGGCCCCGTCTGGCGACTATTCGGCCCCGTCTTCCGGCTACTCTGCCCCGTCCTCCGACTACTCTGCCCCATCCTCCGACTACTCTGCCCCATCCTCGGGCTACTCTGCCCCTGTGTCCATGTTTATCATGGACGCCCCTGACCTCAGTCAGGGTCCATCAGGGGGATACAGTGCCCCCAGTTCTCAGGGCGGCGTGGGTCAGGACTACGGAGCGCCCGCAGGGGGTGTGGGACAGTCCTACAGTGCACCCAGCTCGGGAGGAAGTGTGGGACAGTCCTATAGCGCTCCTTCTTCAGGGGGTGGTGTTGGCCAATCTTACAGTGCCCCTTCTTCCGGGGGAAATATTGGCCAGGCTTACAGTGCACCTAGCTCCGGAGGAAGCGTTGGCCAATCTTACAGTGCGCCTAGCACTGGAGGAAATATTGGCCAGTCTTACAGTGCCCCTAGTAATGGAGGTAGCGTTGGCCAATCCTACAGTGTGCCCTCCTCAGGAGGAAGCGTAGGTCAATCTTACAGCGCTCCTTCTTCTGGAGGAAACATTGGACAGTCCTACAACGCACCATCTTCAGAAGGAAGCGTTGGCCAGTCTTACAACGCCCCTTCTACGTCAGGAGGAAGTGTAGGCCAATCTTACAGTGCGCCAAGCACTGGAGGAAATATTGGGCAATCCTACAGCGCCCCTTCTTCAGGAGGAGGAAGCATTGGCCAATCCTACAATGCTCCTAGCTCTGGAGGTAGCGTTGGACAGTCCTATAGCGCCCCTGGCTCAGGAGGTAGTGTGGGCCAATCCTACAGTGCGCCCTCCACCAGCATCGACCAGTCCTACAGCGGTCCCTCGCAGTCCCTCAGCGACCCTGTGTTCGTCGGTACTGGGCTGAGCAGTGGTGGCGGCTCGGTCAGTAACTACATAGACGGTGGCGCCTCTGGCGGCGGTAGTGTGGACCAGAGTTACAGCGGTCCCCAGCAGGTGTCGGCGGGCCAAGACTACTCGGCGCCTCAGGTGAGGGGATCGATGAATTCACCGACATTTACGACAGCAGTGCTTATATTTTACGGGTATTGGAAGGTGTCGCTAGAAAAGTTAAGTTAATGATTTGTTTTTAGAGAGCTGTCGTAACTCGTACTTTGCTACAATAATATCAATACATGATTGTCTATTTGTCGAGACGTAACCAAGTGCTCAAAGTTTGTAAGACAAACTTCCAAGTCAATTGTTTTCGTTATGTCATGAAAGTGCCTTCATATGACCTGGGTTGACCCATAAGCCCAGTCTGCGTGTCAGAGACCTGAATTGACCTGTGGTGACCCCGAAAGGTGACCCCGGTGATCCAGTCGACTTCTAACGACTACGGGCCGCCAGCGGACGCCATCAACATTCAGGTGACCATAAAATCGGCAATTTTTTATTTAGAGCTACCAAGCCAATAGTTAATAATTCTACAATGTCAGCGACTTACCTTTAGGTGCTATAGGTATAGCACCACGAGTCAAAAATAATTTGATACACTAGCAACCATGATTGTGTTTGAGGCCTGAGGGCTTAGTTTTTTAACTTTTCTTGAGACCACTTCCGGGCTATGGGACAAGATGAGATGAATAAGGCTGATACATTAGGGGAGTCAATCACCGATAGTACACTGCACTCGCCGAACCCACTCCGTTGGTGCTGCCTACGGGAATGTCTCGATGGGACAGGGATGGAACAGGCCACTTAGCCGCTGAGGCGACCACCCCAAGCTGAGTGGACGCAATGTAAACTGTAAAGTAACCGTCAGCCCTGACTGATTCCTCCGTTCACAGGCGCCGATCACAGCTCAAATCAACTCGGCAATCACGCAGAACGCGTTACCCAACATTGGGCTGGACGGAGCGCCACCTATAGGCGACGTCGGAGTTGCAACTTACCAGTGACCGCCGCTATGCAGGGTGAGGGCGCTGAGGTAGCTACCAAATCGATCGATGAGACATGAGTATAGATGAAGTCAAGAGAGACCGCATCCATTCAGTTTGTTCATTTGTGAGTTAATTAAAATTTAAAATAGTCCGAAGTCACCATAAGTTGGCTGCCACTGCAAGTGCACCAGACACTACAAAAGAAGAACCTAAGTCGTATGCACACAACTGCCAACTGGCCTGGATAGTGGACAAGGGCGGCGCCACCGTGGGGGCAGTGGGGGCAGACTGCCCCCACTGCACAGTGGGCCGGGCGGCCGCCAGGAGCGCTGGAAATTATTTGCGCTCGAGTTATCGTTCAACTGACTGTGAAAACATTTCATTTACAACGTTTAGCGAGATACCACACCAATAAGATGTAAATTCAAGACTTCTAATACCATGCATGCATGCATGTTGCAATTTGCATACACTGCACTTAGTTTACTGAGGAGTTCAAAAGGCGTCATTCCTGGTAAGATTTTAACACACTTCCCGGCACTCACAGTTTCTCCATTAATGACCGACACATGAATTGGTCAAGGATACAATCTTCTCTCTCTCTCTCTCTCTCTCTCTCTCTCTCTCTCTCTCTCTCTCTCTCTCTCTCTCTCTCTCTCTCTCTCTCTCTCTCTCTCTCTCTCTCTCTGTCTCTCTGTCTCTCTGTCTCTCTGTCTCTCTGTCTCTCTGTCTCTCTGTCTCTCTGTCTCTCTGTCTCTCTGTCTCTCTGTCTCTCTGTCTCTCTGTCTCTCTGTCTCTCTGTCTCTCTGTCTCTCTGTCTCCCTGTCTCCCTGTCTCCCTGTCTCCCTGTCTCTCTCTCTCTCTCTCTCTCTCTCTCTCTCTCTCTCTCTCTCTCTCTCTCTCTCTCTCTCTCTCTCTCTCTCTTTCTCTCTCTCTCTCTCTCTCTCTCTCTCTTTCTCTCTCTCTCTCTCTCTCTCTCTCTCTCTCTCTCTCTCTCTCTCTCTCTCTCTCTCTCTCTCTCTCTCTCTCTCTCTCTCTATCTGAGGGTCGAGGCTTCGCATCGGAGGGTCGAGGCTTCGCATCGACCCTCCCCTGCCTGTTGTAGGATATAGAACCCCTCATATTGAAGGATATATTTCTTAAACTAGCAGGGAAAAGCATACAAAATCGACTACGGTTGGAAAGTGTAACACTAGCCCAATCTTTTTATACCGTCAAAATTAGGTGCCCGAAGTTACATTTTTATAAACGTATAATTTAATACATCTTTAATATTTCCTCTAATATTTTTGAAACCTGCTGCAAGCTTACTATATATAGGATCAAGTGAGTGATCCCAATGAATTCGGTTATGAATACGATCACAATATGCCCCTGTAGAAGGTATTGTAAAGTTCAGAGCGCTGGGCATCCCCGTTTTTGCACTGTCGCGAAAATAAGGTTTCGCATCGACCCTCCCCTGCCTGTTGTAGGATATAGAAACCCTCATATTGAAGGCTATATTTCTTAAACTAGCAGGGAAAAGCAGAAAAAATCGACTACGGTTGGAAAGTACAACACTAGCCCAATCTTACTATGCCGTCATAATTAGGTGCCCGAAATCACATGTTTGAAAGAAATGTAACTCAATGTATCCTTAGTATTTTCTCTAATATTTTTGAAAAATGCTGCAAGCTCACTTTTTATAGGATCAAGTGAGTGATCCCAATGAATTCGTTTATGAATACGATCACAACATGCCCCTGTAGAAGCTATTGTAAAGTTCAGCGCGCTGGGCAACCCCGTTTTTGCACTGTCGCGAAAATAATGTTTCGCATCGACCCTCCCCTGCCTGTTGTAGGATATAGAACCCCTCATATTGAAGGCTATATTTCTTAAACTAGCAGGGAAAAGCAGAAGAAATCGACTACGGTTGGAAACTACAACACCAGCGCAATCTTATTATGCCGTCAGAATTAGGTGCACGAAATCACATGTTTGAAAAAATATAATTCAATGTATCCTTAATATGTCCTCTGATATTTTTGAAACATGCTGCAAGCTTACTATATATAGGATCAAGTGAGTGATCCCAATGAATTCGGTTATGAATACGATCACAATATGCCCCTGTAGAAGCTATTGTAAAGTTCAGCGCGATGCGCATCCCCGTTTTTGCACCATCGCGTATATAAGGCTTCGCATCGACCCTCCCCTGCCTATTGTAGGATATATAAATGAAGCAATTTGCAATTTTCAGGGCTCAAACGATAGAAAATTGAATTTTCTACAAGATGGTTATCTCGGATTTTCAAAATATTGAGTTTTAGGGGTCCAAAATGTCAAACCAAATTTTGAGAAAAATTTGATTTTTTCAAAAATTTGAATTTTTCAAAAAAATGAGACAAGTTGTCCTCGGGCATCAAAAGAAGAATCAGCATGCAAAATTTCAAGTCCGTAGCTCAATATTTGGTTGCTATAGAGGGCGCAAAAAGTAACAAAATATCCAATTTCATTTTTCAAACTCAAATTTTTGGTACTTATAGGGGTCGTAGAGCAAAACAAAAGACATTTTTGGAATCCTGAGATAAAACTGCATCAGATAGCATGTTTTGAATTCAAAATTTTGAATTTTGAAAATTTCGAATTTTTAACCCCTTTTTTCACTTTTTCACCATTTTGCGGGGGTCAAATCTCCAAATTCTTGCCACCATCGTGTTCTACGTCCAAAACTACCCCAAAAACATGTGTCACACGGTATTTAAATGTTATTTTGAAAATTCGACTTTGTGTGACCTTTGGTGACCTGACCTTGACCTTGACCTGTGCTCCAATTCGCTTTAGACACAATAAGACTTTTCTTACATCTTTTGGGCACATGCCAAGAAATTTTGAGCTCGCTGCTGTCGGTAGTTCGGTCTCTGGGGCCCAAAATGAAAACCCCTATTTTTACCTTTGACCTGACCTTGACCTCAAGTTTGACCTGAGAACCAAATTTAAGTATTCATCAGATGCGTCTTGTTTAGAGCTTTCGTTTGCCGCCTCGCCTGTCCCGCTGCGACTAACCGTTCTCGAGTTATGGGCTGGGGACGTCTGACGGCCCCCCCCCCCAGCAAGTGGTGTTATGAAAATACCCCAGCAAATGCCGGGTTAAAACAAGTTTTAAATGCTAATCGAACACATCTTGTTGAGACCTTTCGATCGCTGCCATGCGCATCTCGCTGCGACCATTTGTTCGCAAGTTATAGGCTAAGGACGTTCACTACCCCTCTCCCAACCAGATGGTATAAAAATACCCCAGCAAATGCCAGTATAGCTCCTAAACTAGCAGCGAAAAGCAGAAAAAATCGACAACGGTTCGAAAGTACAACACTTGCCCAATCTTATTATGCCGTCAGAATTAGGTGCCAAAAATAACGTTTTTATATAAGTCTAATTGAATATAAGCTTATGTAGATGTCTGCAACATGTTGCAAACTCACTATTTAGAGTGCAATCAGATGAGTGAGCCCAATGAAATTGGTTATGAACATGATCACAATAACCGTGTGCATCATGTGCAGTCGTTTATTTTCACCAATAAGATGTTCATTCATGAGAAAAGAGCAATTCAAAATCTAGTCGAAATCGTTCAGATAGCCGCTTCATTCCCTAACCGTCAGTTAGACTGTGTTCGGAGCTGAATATTGGCCGTGACATCGGTCTCATACTTATTCACGGCACGGCATCGTATCCTATGATCAATTTCGAGTCTGTGGGTATTAATTTTTTGCACCCTGAGCACGTTTCATTTTTCGGCATTTCTAGCGCTCCTGGCGGCCGGCCGGCCTACTGTGCACTGGAAGGAGGCCGTGGGGGCAAGACTATGTTTTTGCCCCCACAAAATTTGGCTGATGTTGAAAAGGGAACAGAAGACCGTTCATGATAGGCGGTTATATAGTACGCCTGTTTTTTTTTTTACGGTCCCCGTATCAAGTGCATCAGCAGAACGTTCGTTCTCGGACCGGCTGTCGCATATCTCCTATTCCCACTCATTCTCCTTATACTCATTTTCATTCGCCAGTAGGCTGCCCTCGAGCTTGACCTCGAGGAGGTTGAGAGGCAGTTTGTCAAAAGTCGGCCAGAGAAGAGATCACCCTCTTAATTGGGAACCCTTAGATTGAGACTGAGCTCAGGGAGGTATGACAAAATGTGATAGGTATGTATATCCGGGTTACCTGGAAATGTATGTGGGTCGCCCTAATGGAGCTTATTCTGGTATATCAATCGTGTGTGAGAGAATCGCACATATACGATAAAACATATACGTACACACATATACGTACTACGGGATAAAAGAAAACTAGGTAGGTACTGACTATTGTTTTGAGGAATACACCATTTTACATCTCAACGAACCGGAACAACATAACGTTTTCACAGGTTTGTGTCTCGCAATCTACATAGTTTTATAGTTTTATTTGCTCACGACCTTAACCCTCGCCGGCCGAGGGGGGGGGGCGGGTGCCGCCCCCCCATAGGTTTTTTTTTTCGCGATAGCTCCGAACACGCTGGCGATAGAGAGCTGAAACTTGGCATACCTGACCTTTGATCCAAGCCGCATCTTTTGACACCAACCGCATTTTTGGGTCAGGTCAGGTCACTGACCTATGACGTCATAAGTGAACCTCTGCACGGTCTTCAGATGTCGCAACTTCGCAACGCCCTCACTGCCAGAGGAGATGTCACAGGGAAATGAAACTTGCAGGATCTAGTATCCATTATGAGTCCCACAACTTGTATATCTCGGATTTTTCCTAAAGGTCATATGAGGTCAGGTCATTTTCGTGACCTCACCATTATAAGTCAATGGGGAAAAATGAAAACTGCTATTCTGGCGCCGGGAACGATCTCCAACTATCTCAAGCACACAGAATCGTGATTTGATGCACTCCTTGCAAGGTTAGATGCGTCACTTTTGCAATGTTGACCTTGCGTGACGTCATTTATGACGTCATCAAGGTCATATTAGTTTTTCGTCAATAACTCTTGATCAAATTGAGCTAGCGAGTCGGGAAAGCCACCAATGGACTCAGGAAGACCTGCCGAATCGAATGATATGCGACATGACCTCTTTCGACCAACTTCGTGACCTGGGGGTACTGACCTGACCTTGACCTGAGGTCAACACCCCAAGTTGACCTGACCCGGACAAAAAGTATATCATTCGACGCGCCTGAGCGAGACGAACACGATGCTGCCAAAATCGGCGCTCTGCGGCCGTTTTTTTGCGAAGTTATTCACCAAAAACTGAACCGTACCTTGGGGCACTTGACCTGACCTCAGAGGTCACCGGTTGACCTAGGACCTTAAAATCGGGTACCAATCTCTGCGTCTCGTAACGGCGCACACGCTCGTTTTTTCCGCGACGCGCTAGCTCCACCAGGGGCGAAACGGCGAGGGGGGGGGGGTCGTACCCGCCCCCCCCCCCTCGGCCGGCGCGTATGTAGAAAACCAATAGGTCCGGCGAGGGTTAACCCGCCCGGGCCCGGGGAGTAATCCCAACCTCCGCAACCCGGGGTAGCCCTCCCCCCCCCCCTCCACCCACCTGTCTAACTCCGTAAATAAGGCAGCTACGGAAACGAAAATGGTACCAAACGAAAGGTACCTACGAGAAGATTCTAAACCACCTCAACTTTTTGACCTCAGGTCAATGTTCAAGGTCAGAAGTCAAGGTCAAAGGCACAAACCGACACTTCTGTAGTGGTCTCAAAGTACGTGTTCCAGAGGACGGTGTGGTGCATAAAACCGGCTAAAATGGATGTTAAACGAAAGAAGATAGTCTGGGGATTCCGATAATGTGCATAACATTCAAAGTCAACGTCACGGTCATGCTCAAAATTGACCACAAACTTTGCACTTTTTCTTTTATTTTGTATACCTACCTACTACATTCCGAGATGTTTTGAAATGTGTTGAAGCTTAGCGGACCTCTATTTGTGCTGTAGCTTACGATACAAGGCTGCTACAAGGTCAAAGTCACAAGAGAGTATTCTTGCTAAAAGCTATTTCGCTTTTTCAAGTCAGGCATAATAATTAAGACCTGTTTTGCCATCCTGAGGTTAGAGCCTCAGTGAATGCTTAGAGCAAAATGGACAATCGTGATCAGCGGCTACGAAATCATCACAAACGACCTTTCATGAGTCAAAGTCAACCGGAGGTCATTCGAGGTCATATGAGGTCAACATAAAACTTGACCCTTTCCAAACAATATTGTGTTATTCGACACGGTCTCGACGAGACGAATGCGAAGGTACCTACAACTGCCGTAGCTCTAGGACCATTTTTGTTGAAGTTATTTGCGAAAAAAAAAACTAAAGCCCCAGCTGGGGGTCGTTGACCTGACCTCTGACCTCAGGTCACCAAAGTCACTTAAGCATTGTTTTCTAGGTAAAATGCTACACAACCGTGCTCGTAATTTGTCGTTATCTCTAAAACACTATTTTTGGCAGCTGGTTGAAGTTCACGTCTGTGACGCCGAAGTTTGCCGTGCAGGAGTCTAGAAAAATCGGCCCTGAGACGTTATCAAGGAGGCTAGGTCCATTTTTTTTTTGCTTCAAAGATGTGAAATATATGGGGGATAAGGTACAGCAAGGTCCTCTTTTTATCCCTAAGCGTTCATGTTCATGAGGTATCGCAAATATTCGCCAGCGGGAGGCGAATACCCCCCCCCCCCTCCCTTCCGGGCCCGCGAGGGTTAATGGTTAAGTTCAATACGTATGCATGAAACCTGAAACCATAATAATTTTGAATAGCAACATCTAGGGGCAAGGTGGTCATGGATTTTGCAGATCGGCGTATCAGACAACAGTCCGCGGGTCACCTCAAGCTTGCCCCCACTGGCGAAAATCCGTGGCGCCGCCACTGATAGTGGATACCCACATTCGTTGACCCCAACCAGAAGGATATGTCATAGTTATTATGCGCCTTTGTTCTTTTTCAGGGAGGGATCTGGTCATCCATGCTAGTTTTGTTCAATCCGTTTCTACAAGGACTGAACAACAAACTGGCAGGCTGCCAATGCAATGAAGGAGTCTCAGTCAAACACTGTTACCATGGTTACGACGGCGTCTATTAGTCAGCTGATTGCACAGTGATGGCGGCTATATAGTGGAAAGAGGGAATGGCTCAAGATGACCTCTTGGCTCTTTGAAGTGTGGGGAAAGGTGATGCTGCGTTAGTTTTGCTTGCAATGCAACGCAGAGACATTTTACGCAGCCATATGCAACGAACTTATTCGCGTTTCTGATGGCATCCGCATGATATAAGGAAATGGAGGATCGGATGTTTTGTATTGAGCGATGCCCCATTGATTTGCGTGTGCATGAACTTCGACTGTATTTGAAGATAATGGAGCGACTGCTTGAATGTATTTAGCCCTCAGATTATCTAAACTGCAAGCCGTTCCTACGTGTCGTCCCGCTTGGCAGTAAGTGAATTTGCTCACTTGCATTTTGCAGTACGGGCCCATGTTGAAACACGTTGCTTTTATGAATGTTCTTACGCGATTTTTCAATCCCATTCCTAATGCCTTGACTATCGCCATTGAAAGTGTAGAATTTTATACAAGTAGAGTTGCGGATGAATGCATTGGAATCGACCTAAACCTTCGATTCGAGTCGTTCCGCTGTAATCGTGTTTAGGTATCATTTTGGCGTATGTCAACGTGCAGCTGCAGTGATGGATGCGTGTACCTATTTTGTACGATTCATTCCTAACGAAATACACGGACGTGTTGTGTTATAAATCAAGGATGTACCGAATTGGAGGGGACATGATACGACAGAGAACGTGAGCATCAAACAGCAATGATGACAGAGCAAAGGTTTAGTTGCACAATTCATAGCATGCTAAGCACCTCCAACGCCCCCTTACCTATGAGTGACTGACCCCTGCCCGGATATATCTCAAAATCGTTCGAAGATACTAAAGAACGGCAAGACCCCATCGAACTCACCTTATTCGTGGCTCCAGTGATGAATCTCAATCTTCACTGTCCTTGGATTTTCAACTCGCTGGCGAGGATAGCCTGGTACTTCGAAACCGCATTATCTCGATGATAGTAGGTCTTTAACTTGATCCACAAAATAATTCAGTACATCGAAAGATAATCCAAAGTTGAAACAAACTCATTTTACGCAGTAGGTGTATTCCCCACCGCCCGCCCCGCAGGACACTCAAGCAGAAACTGACAGGAATATGACCCGAGGGCATATCAGCTGACCCGCACTACCCCCGCAGCTGAGTGGCGGGGAGGGGAGGGGAGGGAAGGGAAGCAGAGGGGGAGGGGTCCCGGCGACTGGACGGTCGGGCTGGGGGGGGGGGGGGAGCGGAGGTTGGGGGAGCGGGGAAGAGGGGTCATGAAGAGGGTCGACTTCGAAGCATAGAAAGGGTCGAGGGAGGAAGGGAACGTCGCTTCGTGACCCAGCAAACGGACTAACCTATTTCAATGAGGGTTGACGGGATTAAAATTATTAATGGATGGGTACTCCAGCGGTCTATTCAACCTGGGCGATACTTTCTTCTCTCTCTCTCTCTCTCTCTCTCTCTCTCTCTCTCTCTCTCTCTCTCTCTCTCTCTCTCTCTCTCTCTCTCTCTCTCTCTCTCTCTCTCTCTCTCTCTCTCTTCTCTCTCTCTCTTCTCTCTCTCTCTCTCTCTCTCTCTCTCTCTCTCTCTCTCTCTCTCTCTCTCTCTTTTCATTGCTGAATGACAGCTGAGGAGAAGGTAAAGTAAACCAAAGATACTCGCTCATGCGGTGTATTAGCCACTGAAATAATCTGTCAAACGGAGACCGTTGTTCACATATGTAATGTGCTCAACATTTCCAGCGCATGCATCCAGCAAAGCGATTCTTGAGATGATAAGTTATCCCTACAACCAGTCCGAGACTCGATATCGATTTGTTCTCCTGTGCAGTGTGCATCAGCGTCGATTCCGTCTCCGTAGCAGACATGACATATTGGGCTTTCTCTGCCGGGCTTCTCTCTGGCTTACTAATAAGTGCAATTATGTAGACACTACACGGGAGCCGATGTGGCTTCATACCCGGCACCGGACGGCCGACTTATCGAGGAGGTCGATACTTGATGTCCCCGACACAACACAGGCAGGTGTGGCCGTCACAAAGCGATCTGACCGTGCCCAGTGAATTGAGTGTGATTAATAGGTTGTAGACTTCTACATAGATTGTATATAGATTGTCCAGAATTGGAGGATCAAAAGCATAGCATGCTTTTGCATCCGGAAATTCCCATTGGTGGGTCGCTGAAGAAAAGTTCGGCCAAGCCTGTTTGTCAGTGAGTATGTGAGTATGTGAGTTTGTCCAAGCATTTTTGGACCTGGAGTAAAAATGGGTGGACCGATCGGGACGAAAGTGGGACCTTTCGACTCGTCTCCGGCGAGGTAAACTTTTGATGCTGGTCTCGGTTCGCTCGGCGCTTCGTGGCACATGCTATTCCGCTTCAAAGTTTCGGTGACACGAATTTTTTTTGTCAAGGCTACAGGTCAACCCGAGGTCACGGGCAAAGCCATACTGGCGGGACACATCGGTAACACCTTGAACCAGTTTCCAGGGGGGTCACCGTCTGCGAGGGGTGCAGGCTGCACGTGCTGGGGTCGGAAAACCGTTTTGACGTGAGGTCCTCTGGCTCAAAGAAATTTTAAGCTATCAACCTTAAAATCGGTTCAATGGTAGTCCCAGGCAAGGCCTTCAAAATAATGCACATTTGGTTGAGCTTAACTCTGTGGTGCATGAGCTATGCACGTGCAAGCCGATTGCACCCCTTCGTACGTTGCCACGCCTGCAGGGTAAACGGCAGCTCTAACTGGTTCAAAACTTGCAGGTCATAAGAAGAATACATTTGATCACGACATTCCGGCGAGATAATATCCGAGGGGTGCAAGCTGCGCGTGCGGGGGGCGGATAACGGTTTTGACGAGGGATCCTCTGATCCCGGGAAACGTCAGGCTAGCGACACAAAAGTCGGTACACTGATAGAACTAGACACACGCTACAGGGTGTAATGAAAATGACTGCACTGGGGTGCCTGGGACATGAACTATGCACGCGCAGTTAATTCATATCTTACTGTAGGTAGATATCCACACCAATCTCACGTGCTTCTAAGCATTTTTGGGATGTTTCGGTTGGTTTCAGGTTCAGTCCAAGCTCAGTCTGGGCCCGGTGTGTGCCCTCAGTCCGTTCCTCCAATTCTGGCCCAAGGCAACGCAAGAGCGCTGCCGGCATCTAGATGCCGGAGTGACTGGTAGGAACCCACTGTAAAGGTCCCGGGTCAACCGGTGACTAGATGCCGGCAGCGCTCTTGCGTTGCCTTGGGCCAGAATTGGAGGAACGGACTGAGGGCACACACCGAGCCAAACCACCGAAACCCAGACTGAGCCTGGACTGAACCTGAAACCAACCGAAACATCCCAAAAATGCTTGGAAGCACGTGAGATTGGTGTGGATATCTACATACAGTAAGATATGGATTAACTGCGCGTGCGTAGTTCATGTCACAGGCACCCCAGTGCAGTCATTTTCATTACACCCTGTAGCGTGTGGCTAGTTCTATCAGTGTACCGACTTTTGTGTCGCTAGCTCGACGTTTCCCGGGATCAGAGGATCCCTCCTCAAAACCGTTATCTGCCCCCCGCACGCGCAGCTTGCACCCCTCGGATATTATCTCGCCGGAATGTCGTGATCAAATGCATTCTTCTTATGACCTGCAAGTTTTGAACCAGTTAGAGCTGCCGTTTACCCTGCAGGCGTGGCAACGTACGAAGGGGTGCAATCGGCTTGCACGTGCATAGCTCACGCACCACAGAGTTTAGCTCAACCAAATGTGCATTATTTTGGAGGCCTTGCCTGGGACTACCATTGAACCGATTTTGAGGTTGATAGCTTAAAATTTCTTTGAGCCAGAGGACCTCACGTCAAAACGGTTTTCCGACCCCGGCACGTGCACCCTGCACCCCTCGCAGACGGTGACCCCCCCCCCCCTGGAAACTGGTTCAAGGTGTTACCGATGTGTCCCGCCAGTATGGCTTTGCCCGTGACCTCGGGTTGACCTGTAGCCTTGACAAAAAATTTCGTGTCACCGAAACTTGGAAGCGGAATAGCATGTGCCACGAAGCACCGAGCGAACCGAGACCAGCACCAAAAGTTTACCTCGCCGGAGACGAGTCGAACGGTCCCACTTTCGTCCTGATCGGTCCACCCATTTTGACTCCAGGTCCAAAAAAGCTTGGACAAAATCACATACTCACATACTCACTGACAAACAGGCTCAGCCGAACTTTTTTTCAGCGACCCACCAATGGGAATTTCCGGATGCAAAAGCATGCTATCGCATACTTTTGGTCCTCCAATTCTGTAGTATAGTATAGATTGTATTTTGTATAGATTGTATAAAGATATAGATATAGATTGAAACAATGGCGTGCATCACTGGACCTTTAAAATAAACGTCCTTTACTTGGCTGGCATACTCTTAGCCGGACAATAAACGCATCGTGTTTCCATAGTTTCGCCATATAATGGTGAAAGCTGGAACCGTGACAGTTGAGAACATGCTTGGAAATCAATAATCGGATCAGAGAATATGTATGCTTGGAAGGAAATCAACAATCGGATCAGCGGTCGCAATCCAGGATAAATATCCGTAACCGGCGCGTCTTGCGACGAACATCCCTTGTCACTATTACTTCTCGCTCTGCGCAAACTGAATCAGAATAACACACACGCTAAGAATATTATACCACTGCTGAAAGAAGACCCCTCGATCCAGCGAGAAGTATCCAGACGCCGTGAGCTGAAACTTCTCCAGCACCGGACGAGAGAGGGTTTCACGCTGTGGCGCCGCCGCCGAGTGCTTCAGCTGCTGCCTGGCGTCTTCGGCAGCCTCGGAGGCGAAGTGGCACTCGCTGAAGGTGTTCCACATCAGGTAGCTGGTGATGGATACGGTGATGACCGCGCAGACGGCGCAGATGATGGTATCCTGGCGGGGGTCCGAGATGCAGCGGGGGATGTTGTAGACCAGAGACTGGTAGGACATGATGATGAAGGTGTTGTTCAGCAGCATTAGGGACATGAAGATGGAGGGGGAGAGACTGCCGCAGAGAGACTCGGAGAGGTAGCTGTAGAAAGGAAGATGTGAGATGTAAGACGTAAGTAGATGTAAGACGTACATAGAGTCAACGCTATCCGTCCCAACGAAATGGCGGAGCTAATGCCACAATCAACAGGAGTGAACCGTATAATCGAGAGAGAGAGAGAGAGAGAGAGAGAGAGAGAGAGAGAGAGAGAGAGAGAGAGAGAGAGAGAGAGAGAGAGAGAGAGAGAGAGAGAGAGAGAGAGAGAGAGAGCTCATCTACTGCAAGCACTGGTTTAGGCCGAGTTCGTAAAAATATTACTCTAACTGGTTGGTTTAGAACAGTTCATGATTGATAGCGCCAAGCGTTTAGACCATCCCAACCAGCTAAAAGGTAGCTAACATTTGTAACATCTAACGACTCCTACGAAACCTCTCGCTTCTGACGAAACGAGTATAGTTGTGATGGTGAACCGTTTTCGAATGACAGTTTAGCAGCCTTGCTATCGCCTAGGTACATTTTTTTTTTAATAAATTTAGTCCGAACCTTTTGATGGGAAGGATTCACAAGGACAGAGCCACCGCTAAGCGAAGCTTGTTGCGATGACCCTGCCCTATCTACCCTCCGATCGCGCAATTCCGAGGCAGTATTTTGATTTTGTATTTAGCTGGTATATATATATATATATATATATATATATATATATATATATATATATATATATAATATATATATATATATATATATATATATATATATATATATATATATATTGAAACGAAATGCAACTTAGTTTTGCACCAATATTTACGAAAAAAACCACACTTCGGAGTCGATCGTATATGTGCATATAAAACTAACAGTTTCGGGTCATCTCGACCCCTTGTCAAAGTTTACACACATTGCACAGAGCAACACATCAAGCGAGACATTATACAGATGACATCGATTTCTTTGCACACAGACACATGACACCGTTCAAATGGCGCTTCTCTTGTAAAACCTGGCCTTAACCCTAGAACGCCTAGGGGGGGGGGGTGTATCAACCCCCCCCCCTGAGGTTTTTTCGAAGTGCACGCTAAACGGCTTGTCGTAGCGGGCTGAAATTTTCAACACCCTCTGGGGCAACCTTTGCGCATCTTTTGCCGAAAAAAATTGATCGGGTCATGTCAGGTCACGGAGTTATGACGTCATAAGAGGTACAGCCTCCGGCCGGATTTTCACAAACTGAGTGCCAACGCCCGAGGTTTCCTGCCGGTGGTACGGACATCAGTTGATGGATCGTGATGAAACTTCCCATGCATGTTGGGGCAAGTATTGGCTATCATATGGTATAAGAAATTTGACCGGGTCAGGTCAGGTCACGGAGCTATGACGTCACAAGAGGAACAGCGTCCGGTACTATTTTTGAAAAGCGCCCGAACCACTATTTTGCTAATTCTTGTCACCTCAATGGGAATATGCAGCAATATTAGCTTCTATAGGGAGCAAATGGACCTCCCAAATCCAAAAATACAATCAGATTTCAAAAATTTAAATTTTGATTTTTCGAATTTCTGCCGCCGACTGTGACCTTGCCGACTTCCGGCGCTCCCAACGCGCCATTTTTAGAGCTAGGGAAACGAAATACATACCAAACGATAGAAAATTGATCAAGGAACACGATAGTGAAGGTTTCAAGTCGATATCTTCCACCGTTTTGCCGCAATCGCCGCCGAAAGTTGAAAAAAATCTATTTTTCCGAAAATTTGACCTTTGACCGGTCAAAAGTAGGTCAAATGTTGACCTAGGACCAAAAAATATACCACCAATCGCGAGATCTCGTTGAGAGCAATCCGTTGGTTTTTTCCGCTAAGCTCTACGACCTTCCGTTTCGAAACGCCAGGGGGGGGGGTCGTAACAACCCCCCCCCTGGTCGTTCGTGTTATGAGAAATGGCCTGGTCGTGCGAGGGTTAATCACGGTGCTTCCGCCGGAACCTTCCGTCGCCGCCCGGCGTCGGCGCCGTTGTCGTTGCCGACGAAGGCTGAATAGCCGGGAGCTCCTGCCAGCTGCCGGGGCTTCCGGCTCAGCCGCGACAGCTGAGCTGCATCGAACAGGGACGACCGAGATGTGGAAACCTTGTAAAGACAGCTCAGAGATCAGTTTAGTCCCAGACCAAAGATCTTCTCGGCGAGTTGGAAGTTGAGTTTGAATTTGTCCGAGTCTGAGGTCTGTACTAAAATATTTCATTTTAGCACATAGTAACTGGACGGGTGGGCTGGTCAGTTTGACAATGTCATTGCTGACGATGCATGATAAAACTATCGACCGGATTGGGATCCGGGTCTCATAACCATTGGCCCAGACGGATATTTGCTCATTCCGCTCTCTTTGGGTAGTCCAGGCTTGCATGAACTCCAATGCAGCTTATTTCAGTTTAGTTGAGACCGTCTAAGGCTTCTGGAGATTACTAGTCACGGTAGATGGTTTCAAAAGTTTGTCAGAGTCTGCCCTGCGTCAGCGAGCGGCTGCCTTCGCTGGCCGGCGTCTCACTTCCGGTCACTTCCGGTGACTTCCGGTCTCACATCCGGTGATCTGCTCCGCTGTGTTATGAGATGTAACAGACCTTTATCAGGAGTCAGAACGGCATGGGACATTTACACAGACAAAAACGCCAATCAAATGTCTGTTTTGCGACAGGGTAACATATAGAGACAACATTTTCGAGAGTCACCAACAGTTCCGGGAGACTTCACCACAAACGGTCTCTCTAAAGACAGATATACTCGTCTGTATTTCTCTGGTGCAGCAAATATAAATTCGTCTTGACCATAGCCCACCCCATTCCTCAATCGACTTCCGCCAGGCTGTGACTCTAGCTCAGTGCTTTGATCACGCTGGCTGCCTGTCCTGGTGCCTTGATTACCTCTTCCGGTGATGACCTGCCCGTGTACTGGTTCTGTCCATCTCCTTGACGGGTGAGATCGGAAAAAGATTGGTCCTATGTCCATCATAGACAGCAGCCGCATGCAATGGGCTACTCGGACGTTATGGATCGATCAGTACAGGGTCAACTCTCATCTTATGGGGTCATCATAAAATAATCACTGCTGACCTTTAAAGTCTTGTCTTCAGCAAAAGCAAATCATGCTATAAAAGTCTAATTCAACATTCAAGATGAGAGCATCGGCCCACAAGATCTAACAGCCAACATATCAAACACACCACATCATTCTGAGCATCACACTCACACCTTCCCCGAAATCTCTCCCCGGGAATTTCCCTACCCGGAGATTTCCTGAGCAGAACGTGCGCCGTGCCACCCCAGTGTGGGCCCTTATTGGACATCACAGACACCGGAGGCCTGCACCGAGTCCTAAGGCGTCTGAGGAGCCTCTGGAGGCCCTGGTACACTCAGATGAGGCTAATTGGGAGGCTGGGCGGTGTATTTCTGTCAGCGTTATGGGAGAGGTTGGTGGTTAGATGGTGTTAGTGGTACCGAGGAAACCGCCCATGGCATTACGGATGGAGTCATGGTCTCGGCGACTGAGCGGATGGAGAGAGAGAATGGGAGATTATGATAGAAGGCTGGAGCGAGCGATGACGAGGAAATTTCGTAGAAATAATACGTAGCAAAGCAATATTTCAATAAAATGATATAGTTTTATCAATTCATGATGCAATAGCGAAATAAATCAGCTCGACTGTTGCTGGATGGAGCATTTGAGAAATACGTTTGATTTTTGGGCCCTGCATTTATATTTTCGTATGTAGTTTTATATAATCCAGTACCTTCCACTGACAAATAACATGTTTGGTAGCTAGAAAAATAACAGGATTGAAAGAGCAGCTCTCAACCCAGAGGAAGTATAAATCGGGTACCTTAAATCTGAAGTCTACAGAGATGTAAAATACTGGTATGATAATCCACCAGGCATTTTAGCTTATGATCAGCATTTTAGCATTTTAGCTTTTAGCTTCAAGGACATTTTAGCTTATGAACGCATGACAGCGTGGAGTATGAGAACACTTAGCCGGAATAAAGGGCTGGCTGTCAGCTGAGCATTATTTCTAAGAAGACATTACACTTTAGGAAAGGACAGCCGGACACTCAGCTACTGCATTATCGTAAAATGTTAATATATTTTGTGCAAATGTCACGGACCTGAGAGGGTAGCACCCAGTTGACAATACGAAGCACTACAGTAAATTTAACCCTCGCCGGCACAGGGGGGGGGGGGGTTGATGCAACCCCCCCTAAGGTTTTTCGCGAATAACTCGCGTAAAAAGCGACCGATCGCGACGAAACTTTCAGTACCCTCGCATTGATCAATTTTACACCTACCCTGAAAATTTCATGACCCTGACCCCAATGACCTTTGACCTTTGACCTCTTTTATGTGACCATGTTTGGCCGAAATCGCGGTTCGGCGCATGTCGGCTCGCATTAGCCGCGCGTTTGCAAGCTTTTGGTGGTTTCAAACGTTCAAACATGTGATTTGATGTTGCTCCCATGCATTGGGGTGGGTGTCAAGGTCACCTGAAGGTCAGGTCAGGTCATTGACCTTTGGTGACCTCGGGTGACCTCGGTTCACTTTTTCGAGTTTTACATGTTTCTAGGCTAGTTTTTGGAGCTGAATTCGAATTAAGCAACCATTTGAACATTTACGAAGTAGTTTTGGTGCCTTCGTAACATGTTACGAAGCTGTCCGTGGCGGTTGACACGTATTACGAATACCCGTCACAACCCCTACCGGTTGACCTGACCTGACCTGACCCGACCTGGTCTAAATGCTGAAAGACATCATCTCTGATAAAAACTAACACGATATTCGTGATCAGCATCCCGGAAAACCTCATAGCAGCCACACTTTACGACTTTCTAACATGTCCCGATTTTCCCGGTTTTCGGGTCATTGACCTGACCTGGAAGGTCACCCGATGACCTAGGACCTTAAAATTGGGTATCATCGGCTTCCTCTCGTGACGGGCAACACGCTCGTTTTTTCCGCGAAGCTCTAGCTCGATCAGGGGCCAAACGCGAGGGGGGGGGGTCGTACCAACCCCCCCCCCCCCTTGTGCCGTCGAAGGACTCAAAATGGCCTGTGCCGGCGAGGGTTAAAGTCGTAAGAAAATGTCAAGGTGAGGGCAGACAAATTAATGGGCCGTTTTTGGGAAATGTCTTGCTTGGAGCTGACCGCCATGAGTTGATGAGAAATCTCAAATAATCTTAAATCATGCAAGACTGAATGCCAAATAAAAGAATGAATAAATGAATGAATGAACACAAGAAAGTAAACTGAATGTTTGATATTATTATTTATTACCCAACTTCTCCAACACGAAATCGAGTACCTATATCAGTTTTCTTCCAAAAATACCCCTAGCCCCCCCCAAAAAAAAAATCGTTCACACACCTATACACTCACCAAAGCCTGATCGACTCACCTTTTTTCGCCCTGGCAAACTCGACTTGTCGCAGTAGATGCAGCTCTCCCTTCTCGGTTATCCCAAACGGCAGTTTCCTGTTGTTGGCTCTGACCACGGAGTACTGTAGTACCCCGCGCACCTCCTCCGGTACATCATTGGCGGCGTGTACTCGAAGGAACGGTACACGCAGCGGAAAGTCCATGGGTACGGTGGTACGCACGCTGTACCGGTTGCCGTGCGCGATGTATGGGAATATTGTCCGACATCGGCCTGGAACGGAACGGAAAGGTGGGGTTAGAATACGATCACATGGAGAGATTTGATGGTCAAGTGCTTTTTGCTCATTTTGATGGGAGGTACGAGGCACCTTAGGGAAGACACATTAATTGGGAAAACAAAGAACAATAATGACTAAATTCAACGACTTAATGAGTAGCATTTAGGCTAGCCAAGGTAATGTGTATGCACCAACTTTGTGTACCATACCACAAACGTCATTACCGAAGGAGCGAAAATTGAGAAAACGTAAAAAGATCAGCCCACGTGTCACGTGGCTTTTCCTTCCTAGTCTCTAGGCGACTTTAATTGAGACCAAAGTGCCTCTTTTCAGTCCAGACAAATCCAAACGACACTGTGTAGCAGCTGGCACAGTTCAGAATAAAACAACCAAACTAAACACCGCTAGGCAACAGGAGGTGCGGTAACTCAGAGAGGACACTGTCTTCGGTGAAGTTCAACGACCGCCGACATGACATTACTTCGGCAGGGGAGGGTGTCATGGTGCACTTGGCAACAGCCTGTTCGCTATTCAGTCACAAGGCAGATGGTTACCAAACAGGTGAACAGGTGAACAGAACAGATGAACAAGTGAATAGGATATAACATGTAAGACAATGACAGAACAAGATATCTGAACAGGTAGAGCATGGGACAAAAACAGAAGACACGATCAGATATAACATGGAACTTTCTAATGTCGTCAGAAACTGGGGAAAATGCAAGCTGCTGCGACAGAAATAAGAAGAAAAACCAAACAACTTCACTTTCATCAACAGCAGCGCCGACTAGCCAGCAAAGATGCCGTACAAAACAACGATATCCCCAACTTCCAACTGCAAAAGTGAACAAGACTCCCACTGATCCAATCAAAAGATGAGGTGACTTTCAGTACACCCGGAGACTTTTAGCGAATTCATGGTGTGTCAAAAGTGGAAATAGCCGGTGCGCCGTCTGGCAACCCGGCAGCCCGCCGCCATAGGGAAATTCATGCTTTTTGTCGCTTTTTCGCTCCTTATGAGTCACTTGATCTAATTAGAGCTTAACTAGGAACGAGGCGGGTCACTTGGACGTATTCGGGAGCCGAATGCGGTGTTTTGGAGCCAATACCTGGGAAACCCTATCCGCCCAATGCGAGTTTTTAAGAGTCTGCATGCCCAAATTAACGTTGAGCGCGGCCGTTTTCGGTCGGTTTTCCGCGACCTTGTGGCGAAATCGCCTTATTTATTCAACCAGGGTGGGCTAATTCGCTTAACTAGGAATGAGGCGTTGAAGAGAATTGTTCAAGGAATAGAGCTGTGCAAAAATATTTTTTGTATTGTTAAAACTCTATCCGCCCTCGAGCGATAAATATTGTTGACCCATTAGAAACACATCCCCTGGAATGCGTTTGGACTTGGCTGGATCTAATATTAGCGAGTATCTGCTAATCCAGTTTCTTGGCTTACACAGTACGCACACAAGCACACATACTTCCTGCCCTTGGTTATTCCTCACTTGAATGAAAATTTTGCTGTAATAACTATTCCCAGCAGTTAACAGGTTTTAGTGCAGTGCCAATTCGGAACCGTTCAGCGCCGCCATTCGGCGGCCGGCGGCGGCGCGGCGCCGCCGGCCGCCGCGCCGCCGCTCTGGCAGGGTGTTTGACTTCATATCTCTGTTGCTAGAAAAGTTGTGGACCGATTTACTTGAATCTTGCATGAAAAGATCCGCCATTCAATTCTTAGCAGGTAACGAAAATTTGACGTCAATTGCACGATCCGCTGCCCATATTGTGGTCCTGCCATCTATTGACAGGGCTGGCGAACTAAAGCCGGGCGGCTATTTCCACTTTTGACACACCATGTGGATCACAAAAACAAGCCCAGGTTGGTCACTTCAGCAGAATCACTGGATTCCAAGACTGCCGCCGATTCCTGGATTTTAATTCAGAGGAACCCACTGCGGTTGACCCGAGCGGCTCACTAGGCTGACAGAGTTGTCAGGGGTTTGGTTCGGGGATCTCTCGCAACAAGACGGGCCGTGACAGGGGCAGGGGTGTTGGGGGGCAGGGAGGGGTGACATGAAGTCTCAGAATTTACCACCGTCGTCGGGTGGCTGATATTATGCAGCGTTATACGCTCAGACTTTTATAATAAAATGGCATGTGGCACTTAAAGCACTATAGCTTATTACTGCGGCCGTGTGAAATTTAGTTTGTCGGAAATAATCCCGTTAGGTATGTGGTGAACTTTATGCTAATCGTTTGCATTTGCAATGCAACTTTGAGATATATGCATTCAGGATTTTCTATAAAGCAAAAAAGACGGAGACTGCTCTAACTGAAGACGTTCGATGTTAAAATGAGTAGGTTCATGAATATGTATAAAAAAAAACTGAGGAGGCTCCAAACAGACAGCAGGTAGTTCCTGTCTTCCCCAACGTAAAGCTATGGGCGGAAGCAGCTCGTTTCTACCCCGCCACACCTCTCAAATGTAGCTCCATTTCCGGCTCCGGCTATTCTATCACATTCTCCTTTCATACGATCCGCCCATTTTCACCCGTCTCCCCTCTCTCCCCATCTCCACTCTCTCTCCTTTCCACCCTCCCTATTCCCACCGCGTTCCATCACAAGAGGCGTCTGCCGGTCGGTGCGGCCGGCCCTCATCGGTTCTCGCGTCTCGAGGGCCGCCCGCCTCCCGCCCGCCGGGCTAGCTGTGATGGACGGTCTCGGTCCTGCCCCCGGGACAGACCTCCGCCCCACGGGCAGCCTAGGGGACCACCCGATATGGACCATCTGTCGCCACCGTGACGTCATGGACGGCGTGACGTCACGTCAGCTGCCATATGTTGGTAATGCTGATACGGTATCCGGTCAGGTGAATGTGAGAGGTGAGATAAAAGAGTCAGTCGGGTGTAATAATTTTACAGATGTTCTTATCAAGTGGATCAAGAACCCCAGAAACATCACTGCCAACAAAAGCCGTAAAAGAGGCTGACATTTTATAAATGTTAACGCACCATATCGTTCAAAAATAAGGAATGTTTTGCAGCACTGGGGATATGATCCTTGTTCTTCTTGCCAAAAACGTAAAATTTGGGTCTGCGTGATATTTTTTCGTACATTATCCCTTGTAATTTGTCGCAAATTTACGAAAGGTGAATCCTGGTCCTATGTCACCTTGTTAAAAACACGGGACCTTTTCCCCAAAAATACCCACTAACCACCGCTGGGAATTTCCCCGCCTCGTGACACACCACCAGTAAACACCACCCCTGGCGGTGTCAGCACCGATAGCAGAAGCTATACGCTAACATCCCCGCTGCCAATATTAACTGGAGCAATCGGCCCGACCAATGCGGCACGCTGCAGCCGGTCCGGCCACTGGCGCTCAATCAGCCCATATCGGTCCGGGGGGAGGGGGAGGGGGGCAAAGGGGAGGAGGTCAGTCGATGGCCGAGGGAGGGGAGGGGTCCGGTCGTTTTAGTGTCGGCGAGTGCGCTTGGTCAGAGCTGGCTACTGGTAGAGCCGATCATAAGTTGGGTATGTCGGTTGGCGGAAATTGTCAGCCGAAGTTCATCCATGCTCTGATATGGGGGGGGGGGGGATTTCAATGTTTCTGGACGGTAATGATTGACGGAATAAAAACTGGGCGACAGGACGGAAACTGAGCTATGTTGCACATATTGGGAAAAGTTTTCTAGCTGCTATCACGGTCTTATCAGGTGGACATCAAAAATATCAGTTCCCTGTTGACCTGTGACTTGAATCAACGCTACAAGTTTGAAACTTTAGATTCTAACTGAGTTTAATTTTCTTTTGCATCTATCTTGCGGAAATATAGCACATGCCGCAAAGTACAAGATACACACCTTATTTTGATCACTGAGCGTATTATCACACTCTCAGGCAGCTGTGTAAAACGACACTGATGACGTCATAACCGCAGGTTGTTTGAAAAGACAAACACTATTCGTTAGAATTGTGTTTTTCTATTGAAAAACAACCGGAGCGGTCCTTCTCCGGGCTATGTTTGCAAAGTTGGCCTGAGATTGGGGCAACTTGGTCGCAGCCTAGAGTTTTGCGTTTAGGATCGTAAAAATTTCAGGGTATAGACTTTTGCAGGTGATCTACCTGATGGTACCGGTCGCTACTCGCAACAAAAATCATTGCGCGTGCCACGTGCAATTGCATTTTCCCCATGTTAAGTCAACGGGGTTTTGGACACTTTTTGCGCGATCGCCAATGGCGGGGAAAACGAGCCAAGAAGGAGGTGGTTTTCTTCCCAGCATTTTATGGCAAACACGTTCTGGTACACGCCAGTGTGCGCCGTATACCCGTCAGAATTCGTTAACTTGAGTTGCACGAGTTTGAAGTTGAACTTTTTTCGCTCCCCATGTTAAGTCAATGGACGTTTTTGCAGAGGCATTTTCATTCGCTCATTGTACAAAATTATATGATACGATTTTGTTTAAACTTTCAGGACTTGTTGAGAAAAGACCATAGAATATGTTGTTATGCTTCGTTAAGCTGTCAGAATTCGTTTGTTCTTTTTGAGCTCGTTTAAAGAAGAATTTTTTTAACATGCAAAGTCAATGGGAGCGTCTTTGCTGCTTTATAACATTTTGCGTTATAGATATATTTAAGTGAAAAGTTGATAGGTTATACAACTTTTGATGCTCTTTCCAATGATATATAGAACGTTATTGCACGTTGTGCCGTTTTCCAGGTGTTGTCCATCTGAACTTGTCAGTCACGTGACCCATTTGACCTTCGGATCCGATTCTGGTAGTCAATTCTGGCGCTTTTGTTACCATAGCGAAATATGTAACGCCGTGTTCACAGTTTTCCTGACGACGAAGGTCCTGCTTAATCTGGCCAATGGCGTTCGAGAACTGCGGCCAAGCCCCGCTGATCTTGAACGTGATTGGTCGGTGGGCGTATAGAATCTCCGTCGTCAGGGAGACTGCGAACACGGGGTAAACCAAGGGGTAAACAATCTGTGCGTGGAATGGGGAGTGGTGAATGCGCAAGGGCGATGATAGGCGCTGATGTCGTCGATTTTTATTTATGCTATTATCCTTATACATTCTGATCATTTTTTATGTTCAGGAGTTTTCTCTGTTGATTTAACATAAAAAGCGGTGTGTTTAACTGTTATTGCCAAGTGCCATATTTATATTGAAATTGGGGTACAATTCAACATTCACTGGTTTTTCTATGGCCTGTTGTGCATCATATTATTGGAATGGTAATGTGAATATAGGTACTCCATACACTGCTACTTTTGGGTATATATAAATGTTTGACCTGATTTTACTTCACTTCACCTTATATTTTTTTGCAGGAACAGTTATCACACCATTATTGTGCAAAAAATAAGGGTGGTTTAACGCGGCACTCTGCCAGCCACTTTTGGCTTCCATAGACATCAACAAGCCTATGCCTCCAACACTACCAGAGGTTGACGCTAGCTCCACGGAATGTGCTGGCAGCTGCTGGCAGCGCGCCCATGAAACACAGCCAGGGGTTTCCTCTGTAAAGTCATTATTGTCTAGGTACATGAGCCTTTAGCAATTGTTAACAGCTATAAAAATTGGAATTAGAAATGTTCAGGTATTATCAGCATCAGCTAAACAGGGAAGAGAATTCGGCTACAGCCCATCTTGCAACGCCTCAATGAAATTTAACGAGAAACTTAAATTGAGGGAGCAGCTACATAACTGAGGTAAAGCCCATAAATCCTTGTGGATTTACCTACATACCTGAGGTAAATCCACAAGGCACCTTGAGTTCAAACTATGAAGTGACTCCAAGCGAAATATAGCAGAAATTGGGACTTAAACGAGCTTAGAAATAATCTGCTTAGTGCTGGATAAGTGTTTTCACTTTACCATATGTTGTTTTTTATTCAAAGTTATTGTATTGTTCATTATTGTAAAAGCCAAGCAACTTTTGCAACATTGAGGATCATACTTTAGCTTTGGAAACAAGACATATGTAGTTATGCTGATCTTCTTTTCCAGAGTCTTTGATTATCACTTAATTTCATTCACTTTTGATGTAGTGAAAATGTAGAATGAATTCACTGGAATTCACTGGGATTGTATTGTGTATGCAAGTCCAAATATTTCGGCCAATATTGTTTGGCCTTGGTCACTGGACAACTACAATAACCCTATAAGAATAGCTCACATTGCAGCGACATATTTTTGTGTCTTGTGGGGTCTCATATAGCAATAACAAGAGCAGTGACATGCATAGTTTGCTTGTGTTGTCACAACTTTGTACAATATTTCCAGCTTTATGATATGCAGTTATTAGTCACATTGGGCATCACGCATATATTTTTTCCTGCTGGAGGGAAGACACAGGAGGGATCCAGTGACTCATGTTTTTGCTTCTATCGCTTCACCCCTGGGGAATCAGTTCCTACACCCCTTGAGTATAATGGTCACCAAGGGGTGCTGTCCTGACACGTCCACTTTCTGTTGAGAAGGTTAGAACAAACACCATGTGTGTCATTTAGTTGCACATATAATACCTCAATGTTAAGTCTGCATAAAGTCTGAAGTCTGTAGCCACTCTTAATCCTAGGTTGTCGTGACTTTAATCTAGCCTGGGTGGATATTTTGCTGTGCTAAAAGCACGGACTGCGTTACGCCCCAGCACGGCGGCCGGGGCGCCTCCCCTGGAAGAAAACGGCACCGGCCTTTGAACCACCTTATGATATACTAGTATCTAAAGTATTTGTCCATCAGGATCAGTTATCTAATGGCAGTAGACTGTTGTCTTCACATACTTCATATCTATTTTGGCTACTGCATTGTGTTCTGTAAAAAAATATGAAAACGTTTTGGATGTAGTTTTTAGTGGAATGCTTCTTTACAGATCCCGAAAGAAGATAACAGCTTGTTTTCTTCACCGCCACCAGTCTACCTGCTCTCTGCACACTCGGCAGAGCGCGGCAGGGCACCCCACGGAGCTGCACTAGTCACATCCGGGCCCCACGCCGGTCGACGGCCGATGCGCCGCTGGGAGGCCTGCGGCGCGGACGACGGATGCGGCAGTTGGTCAAGACACGGCAGCCTACTCGAGGTGCTTCTCGCCTGGAGGACGCAGGCGAATCGCGTTATCCGAGCTGTGCCTCGTCATGGTGCGATGAGCCTTAATAGACTAATGCATATTCTTCCTTTGGCTGTAATTCATTTGCTGCTGCCCGCTGGGCTAAGGAGTAACTCTGGGCGCCTACTTTGGGCAGACGCTCGTCCAGTGCCGCTCTTCGTTTGCCGCACATATCTTTATTTATTCTTTGTTACAATTCCGTCTTTGGTCATTTTTTTTTTACCATGGGGGCACTTGAAAGTTTTGTTTTTAAATCTGTGGACATTGAACCTGGAATCGGTTTTATGTCGGATTTCGGTTTTGTTTTTGCACTGTGGAAATATCTCGTTCAATATTTTTAAAGGAAAAGGGCCACCTTTAACATGGGGATTGAAACTGAGATAGCCATCTTGTAGCCCGTGTCCGAAAACCTATTTGTCTACCTCCTTACGGCCGATTTCGGCCTCCATTCGTAGTTATCGGCAATTTTAAAAGAAAATACGCCAGGAATGCGTTCTTATCCCAGGAATGCGTTCTTATCCGACAATACAGCCACCCGCGGCGAGGCTTTGGTTTTTTACCAATCAGCTCCAACCAGCTCAGCTTTAACCAATCAGCTTATCTGACACAATCCGACGAGTCTGTCTTCTGAACGCTGATTGGTTGAGTGTGACGTCATCGCTATGCCATCATACAGTAGGTGCCGTAGAGAGTATCAACATAGTACCAATATGTTAAATAGTTTAAATACTTTTTCGCAAATTGTGCACTTCTGGCACCAGTTTTAAAAAGAAAATGAAAAATAATAATGTCAAAATGAAAACAACGATATCTTCATATTTCACGAAGGTGGCCCTTTTCCTTTAAGATAGGGCGTGCTAAAACTTTTAGTTCATTACTCCTCTGTGCATCTAAATTCTAAAGTACTATAATGTGCATCTCAAGTGTTTGGTGCTGTACTGTATTATTTATGGTTAATCCA